GGGTGGCCTTGGATGTCCTTGGGTGCGCAGGTGGTAGAACAGGCGCGGTGATTCGCGCCGACCTGCGGAGGGGTTCTGTTGCTAGGCCGTCGTGACCTTGCCCCTCTACCACTGCTGCTCCGACCTCCCTCTGGTGGGCATCGCTGGCAGCTAGGGTCCTTCGATCTGCCGTATTGGTCGAGTTTGCGGGTTGAACCATTTTCGCTTGCGTGTTGGTTTAAAAGAATTGGGATGACTTAGATTGTCGAATTCCCACAAACGGCGCCAAATGTTTATGCAAGGATATGCACAACAGTGTATTTCTGATTGCAGCTCGAACTCGGCCTCCGGACCGATCTGAATACTTGGGCGGACCTGCACAAAAAGGTGAGCACTCCGACGATCAAGTCAGTATAGGTCGGATTCCCAGTTTAGTTCGAGGTCAGAAATCATCGTACCTGATTGTGGAGTGAGGTCCTCTACTTATGGGTGGTAGTCCCGCTAATCTCGCGACGGTTACACCCGGTAATCTCGGGACCGACGGTTACATCCGATAATCACGCCGCTGACAGTAGCTCACATCGGCCCCCACCGAGCTTCCCGGTAGATCGGACCTTGGCCAGGTTCACCTCGACCCTCATACTTAGCGTCTGTCAACGCTAGTGGTGGTGATCTCGGTGGTCCGAGCTGGGGCATGACTCATGGGTCACCTCGGAGCACCAATGGCTGTCCTCCACGTGTCCAGGGTATTCTTTCTCCCAAACAACTATACTAAAGAGTAATGATTTGTGAAAAACATTTTTAGTCCACAATATCCTTTTAAATTTAACTAAATTACATAAATAATATTTATAGTAATTCACAATCGTACATTGAAAAATATAATTAAATTGATATGTGCATTGAAAATTATAATTAATCTACAATTTTATAACTCAACTGTTTATTTATGATTTTATTAGAGTACCGTTTCAATGACCTTTCTTTTTTTTTATTTATAAAAAACCCTTTCAAATTTTATTAAATTTTGAAATCCAATTTTTCCAATTCTATAAATTGTGGTGAGGAAGAGATAGTTCAGTGTGGTGATTGGTTCTAAATAAGTTTGGTGTGATGTATTTCACCAACAGGATGGAAATCGACGGGAGGAGGCTGAAGTCGCACAAGCAAATTCAATTTCAAAATTGAATTTCTAAAATCCTGACTCCATTGTTTTCATCCTCAAAACATGGTTTCACTGCTCTACAATAAGTCCTCACAAAATTGTTGTTCTCCTTCTTTCTCATACATCGGTTTCGAGTCGAGGCGTGCGGCGACGAGAATGCATGCAGTCGAAGAAAATCAACCCATTCTTTCTCCTAGATTGGTTTCGAGTCGAGGTGTGCGACAACGAGAATTAATGCATGCAATGGAAGAAAATCAACCCAAATTCTATTTGTTTCTCGGTGATGGTTGTGAGAGTGGTAAAATGAGGAAGTAAGCCGAGGCATGCGACGACGAAAATGCATGTAGTTGAAGAAAATCAACCCACACCCTATTTGTTTGTCAGTGATGATCATGAGAGTGGTAAAATGAGGAAGTAAAATTAGGATTTTCAAAATATGTAACATTCTATTTAGAAAAAAAAGAAAGTCCTTCAATAATTTTTTTTAAATAAAAATGTCATTAAAACAATGACATTTGATTTATTTTTAATTATGGGTAAGTTTTTTAGTTTTAAAATACATATGCCAAACTTCTAAAATTGTCATTCAAAATAATAAAATTTACTTTTTAACATATATTTATTCATTGTCCATCATATTTATATTTATATTTATATCTATACTATGTTAAAAAGCATAGATGTTTGAAAAATATTTTTAGACCATATTACCCTTTTTATTGTGTAAAGTTACAAATATATCATTTTTTAGTACATCATCGTGCCGTTTGTGTTTTATGAATCACAAACCTATCATTTTGATTTAACCACCTTTTATTTGTTATTCCTAAAAAATATTCATAATTAATAAATTTAAATATTAATAACAACATTAATTACAAATATACAACAATTATATCAAATTTTTATTTGACATTAAAATCAATTATTCAATATAAGAAATTAAACTAATTACTTTTACCATGGAGAGATGATAGGTTACAAATTTAGTATTTTACCATCGTCATTATTTTTTTGTACAACTATTATCATTAAATTGATAGAATCACTATGAATTCTAATCAATAAATTAACCTTCAGGTGTTGGTGCAGTGACATGAGGTTTAAGATCCATGTTCGAGCCCTTCTGTGTCCAGAAGTCAAAAAAAAAAAAAAAGTTTAAGAGTTCCTAAGATTTATCATAAAAAAAATTATTGCTTTTTTTAAAGCTTACAATAATGTAATAAGAAACATCAAATGTTAAAATATGAAAAATTTTGCATTCACTTACATAAATAAACTATATGATTAAATATGTTTTGCTTTCATTTGAATTTAATAGTAGAATATCAAAAGTTTGAAAATCTAAAAAACGTTGCAACTTCTGCGACCTCTATTCCGGTGATTGAGGTAGCTTAAGTGAGTAAAGGATGTGTTTATTTTATTTTATTTTTTTATTTATTATTTTTATTATTTTTTGTTAATAAACAAAAATAATTTTGGAAAATGTTTGTTTGTTTTTTCTTTTACCAATAAACCAAACCAAATTTTTTATAAAAGGTTTTGAAACAAAATCGAATAAGAGTTTATTTTAACTAAGTTGGAAAAAAAATTTCTTTTAAAGTAAAGTTTTTAGGAAAGTTTAAGCGGAAAAAAATTTTGCTTCTAAAAAAATACAAAGTACTATTTGCTTTTTAAAATGAAATAATTATTAAATAAGGTTTTGAAAAAATTGAATATGAGCTTATTTTAAATAAGTTTGGTTATATGATTTTTTTTATTTTTTTATATATAAATAAAATAGTCTAAAACGAATTTCAAATCCCTAAAATAAATTTTTTTTTCACTTTTCTTTAATATATATATATATATATATATATATATATATATAATACAAATTTCGAAGATAAGTTTATTATTTAAAAAGACCCTTAATAACATGTCTTAGTGTATGATATAGTGGCAAAAGCATTGGGTGTTGACATCCATGATACAACTTCAAATTTTCATGTGTACCTCAAAATGATTTTTTTATTTTTTTTACTTTATTTCATCTTATTTTTTCTCATTGTTTTTACCAAATAATCATTTTAAATTTTTTTCTTCTTTCTAAATAAAGGATTTTCGTTTAATTTTTTTTAAAACAAAATTCAAAAATAAAAAGTTTGAATTATTAAAAAGAATTTTAAGTTGCATCCTAAGGTGTTGACATATTGGAAAGGCACTTGGGTAATAATACTCATGGTTGGAGTTTGAATCCTTGTGGGCCTCAAATTAAATTTTATTTCATTTTTTAAATAGTTATTTTGGAAGCTCCAATGACGGAAATTGAGACTTTCCAATATTCTCGAGGTGATAATTTGTTTTTCTAATTGTCTTTGCACCACTCATGCTTGTTGGTTCATATTTTATCGCAAAATATGAACCAATAAATTTGAGACATTTAAAATCAAACACAAAAGTATTTTTTTTTTCCTTTTGGACCAAACATAATAGGATAATTTTTGACAAAATATGGTACCGTTTTCGAACGGGTGTCGTAGGGTGCTAACACCTTCCCTACGCTCAACCGACTCCCGAACCAAAATTTTGTTTTCGTAGACCAAGTTTTTTTTTAAGTAGGTGACCAATCACACCTTGTAGATGATTGGTGGCGACTCTAAACCCTAATCTCGAAAGAGACCTGTCAGGGGATGACGTCGGTCGCTCCGCGTCGCGATGACGTTGCGACAGCTTGGCGACTCCACTGGGGACCTTTAGA